TTTCAACCTTTATGTCAGAATTGCTATGGGCCTAATGGGGTGGACTGTATCTTCACCCCATCTGGCAAAATTCGGATTGACAGTGAATGGAGCTGTATTTCTTGGTGGTCAAGATAGCCCACTAGTTCTATACCTATATATTCTTACTCTAAATAAAATGGAATGAGCTGAAAGGAGGCATGAGCTAGACTGGTATTACTGCTGGCAATCTAGACCAGCACAGTGAATAAGCCTAACAACTCTTCCAAAGGTGAAAATGTTTGGGTAAAAAATTATGACAAGTGAAAAATAGGAGAAATAGCCAAGGCACAGGAATAAATAAATGAATTAGGTAATGAGGAAAATCTAGTATTACACTGGTGCTTTGAGAGAGGCTCGGAGCAAGAGACTGTAGTCTCTTAGCTTAATTATACTAGATGCCCAAAAAGGTGAAGTCAGTTTTCTAAGACCAACCTTGCTCTTAGAAGCTGAAAAGGTTGAACGGAAGCCTGCAAACTTGAGGGGCATTGCTCTGGGAGACATTCTGGTCATATGATATAATGATGAACTGGACCAATTAATTGTTAATGACAGAGGTAACGGGCCATTATCTCTTGATTCTTATTTTTCAGGTTACATCTACTACAATACTGCAGATACAGTCTAACATCGGTACTGCTGGAATGATTCCTCTCCCTTATGTAAGTAAGTCAAATGATGATGATCAAATGTATTGGAAAATTGAATCACAGCCTCCTTGGTAAGTAGTATCAATGAAAAATGGGCTAAGAACTAGATCTACTTAATTATGAGTTAATTTCTATGCTGAGTGATTATGCACAAGTTTGTCAAAAGGTATAAATAGTAGAATATTAAAATAGGAGATAATCATATTATACAAACTAGGCTCTCTGTTAAGAGAGCCTAGGCCGAGGGACAGTGAGTAGCCTATGCATAAATGATTAACTCAGCAGGTCTTGGTTGTCCAAACCCTGCACATTGTAAAGGTTTAGACCTTGCTAAACTCTTGGGAGATAACCTCTGATGCCTTGGAATACCTTGCCTCTTAAGAGTATCTTTGTCTACCTGGGACCTTGGGCTATGTCAGATAGTTTATGCTAACAACTGATTGATTGTGGTGGTGGTGGTAGAGGGCTTGGACACACAGTATCAATTTTGACCCCTGGAAAGGCCAGAGACTAAGTAACTAAGGTCAGCCATGTGGGCACTGAATGTAAATATAACCAACCTGCAAATAGAAACCAGTGACATCAAAGCTAGATGAGCATCCCTGATTAGCAGCACTTCATATTATCTCACATTATGGCTGGGAGAATTAAGTGCTGTTCCTAAGACTCCACAGGGAGAGAACAAGTGGAAGCTTGTGCTTGGTCTCACCTGGACTCTGCCACATAGCAAGGGTCCCCAACCCTGAGGCCATGGACCAGCACAGGTCCTATCAGTTCAGCAGCAACAGTTCAAGATCCCTTGAACAAGATCCCTTGAACTGTGCATGCAAGGGATCTAGGTTGTGTGCTCCTCATGAGAATCTAATGCCTGATACTCTGAGGTGGAACAATTTCATTCCAAAACCATCCCCCAACATCTGTGAAAAAATTGTCTTCCCCGAAACTGGTCCCTGGTGCCAAAAAGGTTGGGGACCACTGCTATATGCCATTATTACCTTTGCTGATTTTAATCTGTATCTTTTCAGTGTAATAAACCATAACCATGAGTATAATGGCTTCTCTTGAGTTCTGTGAGTCCTTGAAGCAAATCGTTGAATATGAGTCGTCTTGAGGACCCCTGACCATACTCATAAACTATTTGCTTTTATGACTATAAATTGATGCAACTCTTTTTGGAGGAAAATTTGACAGTATCCTTATACCAGAAATTCTAGCAAAATATCCCTAAAATATGTATGTATATATGCATTAGGCCACACATAAAAGGATATTTATGCAGTTCTGTTTGTCAGAGCCAATGACTGGAAACCCCTTAAATTCATTAATAAGGTACCAGTTAAAGAAATTCTGATTCATCCATTTAATGAAATCTGATGTACCAGTTTATAAAAAAGGAGATTAATATATATAAACTGATATGGAAATACTTTCAAGATATATGGCTGTGTAAGACAGAGTTAATTTATAGCTGGACTGGAAAAGCTCTATTTTTACCTCTGGGGAATTCTGGCTGTCCAGCTTTGACTCTTGGCCAAGATAAGAACAGTAAGATTAATGATATGCTGTTTACTGTCTGAAACTGCCCCCAAAAACCCCGCATGGCCAGTTTGTTTACTGATGGTTTTCATTTGGCAGAATCAGGAAGACAGCCTGGCTTGATGTCATGACTACAAGGGCCTAAAAACCCAGATGGGAACTTTTGCCTTGAGGTTTTCTGAAGCTAAGATGCATCACATAGATCTTGGTGTTTCAATCTGAAGGCAGGCAGTCTGTGTGAATAAGGCCCCTGGAAAGCTTGCACCTGAGCCCCAATGCTTGCCATAGTATCTTTCTCTTGCTGCACCTATCCTTTGCCTTTAAATAAAAGCCACACAGAAGAATGCTCTGTGAAGTCTTCCAAGTCCTTTCAAATATCCAAATTTGTAAAATCTTTGCAATAGTCAAGTGACAAAAGCAGGGTCTAGGGCAATATGTAAGACTGTGGGAAGTAAACTTTCTGAAATGCTAGCAAGCAAAGTGGAAAAAGCCATCAAGGACAAATGTGGGTGAAGATTATGAGTCTTCCTACACAAGGATGTATTGTATTGGGTGTTCCAGTTGGCTTGAGGACCAGCGGAGCTTGCAAAAATTTCAGGGACACAGACTGAAAATAAAAGAGCAGTGGCATAGCCCAAAATAAAACTTTTATCCAGCATGATTCTACCTTGCACAGACAGTGTCACTAGTAGCTGTGTGACATGACTCTGGGGATCTTGGGAAATGTATGCTGAGAGAGGCTGCATCTGTACCTGTACTGTGTGGTGACTGCACCTTCACCAGGGTGGAGGCTGGGTTCACAGAGCCCAAAGCCTATTTATTATATAAGATATCTGAAAGATGGCACCACAAACTCTAGCCACTCTTATAACAATATTTTGGTTAGAAACTATATTTAAAATTTCAATAGAAGAGGCCAGAAACACAGCTGCCCTCATCTGAAAGAACCTGAGCAGTAACAGTGGGGGATTACCAAGCAACCAAAGAAAACAGAACCTCTCCCAACTCTGAGCTGCTGATGGTGACTCCTGCGACTGAGGGCAAACATGACGGCTGAAAGTGAGGGCTAGGAAATTTAAGGAACAGAAAGGTGTGGCAAGGATGCAACAGAAGGGTTTTCTAGTTAGATGAGGTGGAACAGAGTTGAGTGGAATGAGCACATGGGGCTGGAAGTGACACTGGGAAGCAGTGGCCCAATGGGATCTTGCTTTCCTCTTCCTTTTGGGTCTCTTCTGCTCTCATTCTCTCATCACTGCTACCGGAGAGAAATCAGGCAGAAGTCACAGTAGGAGCATAGGGATTTTCCTTTATTGCTCCTTATCCATTCTCTCTGCCACAGATATGTCATGAGGAGGCTGGGAAAAAGAACCAAAGTACAAAAAGAAAGGCTTGGTGGAAGGTTCAAATTCAGTAGCATGGCAGTGTTTTCTCTGCTTGACTTTTTTATTTCCTGCCCTGGTGCTGTAGAAAAAATGAGGTTGGAGGGGGTGGTAACAGAGGAGAGGTGGGGATGATGGTAGAAGGACTGAAAGGAGAAAAAGGGAGAGAGATGTCCTATACTAAAGAAGATAAATATATACCCAGCTTTGAAGAGATCGGTACGAATAAGTGATTCTGTTTAGTACTATTAAGCATGAATTCTTTAATATGTTTTTAACCCTATAACTTTGGAATTCTTGAAGAAAATTAACTTTGTCCTCCATGAACAAAAACCAGTGTTCTTTCTCTCTCTCCACCCCTCTATCTTTCTATCTATATCTATCTCCCCATATCTATCTATCTATATGCCAGATGATATATGAAGAAAATTTAGTTTTTAAGAACTCCTAGTAGGCACTATAATAAGTATAGTTATAAAAAGTGTGTATGTGTAATTTTTTTTTATTCACCAATGAATGTCTTTAAGATCTCTACCTGGCAATAAATGCCTCAATCAACAAAAGGTGGAGAGTTGTGGCAGTGAAAAGATGGTGAACAATGGGATGTTTCTGTCATACCTGTGCATAGATTGGAGAGATAAGACTATAAGCTTTACCTAGGAAAGCAAAAACTGAATTTGGGAATGGACACATACAGAAACATTAAAAATATATATATACTAAAATATACACTCTTCAGTTTCATAAACATCCATTAAAGGAAAAAGCAGAAAGTGGGTAAAAGACAAAGGAGCAGAAAGAGAAAATGAAACAGGAAAAGAAATGGAAAAAAGGAAAAAGGCAGAAAGAGGTAAAAGAAGATAAAGATACACTAAGAAGAAGACAGACATACAAGAAGGAAATGAGAAAGAGACAGGGAGCCACAAAGAGCAGGACTACAGCTCACAGCCATTCTGGCATAGCCTCCATCTATGCCTTCATTCTGTGTATGAGTTTGTGCCTGGGACACTGTCATGCCCTTTGCAATTGTTTAGAATTGCTAAAGCTTCAGGAGCCAAGCAAATGCTGTAAGTGCCTCCATTTAAGCCCATGTGGCTACTGAACACTTGAAATGTGCCTGATCTCAATTCAAACGTCTGTAAAGACAAATGCACACCAGATTCTGAAGACTTTGTACAAAAAGAATGAAATATTTTGGATATATTTGGGTTAAATAAAATACATTTTTAAAGTTAATTTCATTTTCTTTTTGCCGTTTTAAATGTGGCTACAAGCAAATTTAAAATTACATATGTGGCTCATGTTATATTTCTGTTGGAATGTACTGTTTTCTAACATTATGAGTCTCCTCATTAAAATCAAGGTTGGCAAAGTAAGTTTGCTAATATCTGAATCGCCCAAACTGCTAAAAACATACCAATATGCTGGACTTTTTCATCGATGACTTCACAATGGTATGGCCACCGTGTTGGACTCAGTGGACCAGAAGAAGATACACCATATAAATCCCGTGGTTCCCGAAGACGTGGCACCCATCTCCCTAGCTGATATTCTAATAGTATCTGTGTAGTCCGGGGGAAGAAGGGATCACGAAAAGAGTCAGCTGAGAAAAAGATTCAAACACAATCATGAGTGGGAAGAAGAAAAATACCAACTCCTGTAATTTTTATATAGTTCCTTTTTTCCTTTCAACACTGTTCAATGTGTGGGTATCATTACAAATGTTTTATAATTCATGGCACTTTTTATAAAAGTACTAATGAAATTTTGTGATGATTGAGCTTCACAATAGCCAAAAAATAGTTGACCTTTATACTATTAATTTATTCTAAAAGCTCACTACTACTTTAAAAACATTTGTTTCTTGTAGCTCTTCTAGCAAATCATCTAAATGTCTAATGAGTTAAATACAGTGATGAACTATAATTCCTCACTACTTACTGGAACTGTATTCTCAAGGTTTGCTGGTGAACTGAGTCACAACTTTTTCTCAGTTTTCCTTCTAGAGCTACTGTGTGATACAATGCCAGGAACACAATTCATATAGGCTAGTATGGGGCCACACCAAGAAGGCCGTGCAGTGGTCTGGTATATTGGTGTGATACTGTACGGCATCAGTTTGACGTTGATGATCACCCCTCCTTAAGCGTACTTCTCTTATGACACATTTCCTGGATTTCCCCCTCCCTTCTACATATTTGGTTTTCCATTTGTCTCACTGACTCCTCTTGCTGTTTCACCTCTGAAATGTGGCTTTTTGCCGAGACTAGTTTTTGGTTATTTTTGTACAACAGCTGATACAGCAACTGGACTAGAGCTCAGATAACTGGATTCCTTCCCTTTTATCACTTTTTTTGGTATGACTTTGTTTGGGCAAGGCAGCCTCTTTGAACACAAATCTTACTACAGGTCAATAACTAATAATATCACCTGCCCTAGCTACTTATCAGGATTGTTCTATAGACTCATTCATCCAACAGATACTTATAATGCATCTACTATGTGCTAAAAACTATAAACAGACAATTGCCATACAGAGTGAAAAAAACAGTGTCCCTGCCATCATGAGCTTAAACTGTAGCAGGGCATATATAAGTAGGAAAACAAGATAATTTCAGTGATGACAAATGCTACAAAAATAAAACACAGAAATATAAATGAAGATTAGAAACAGGAAAGTGGGAGTGAGAATGCTATTTTAGATAGGGTGGTCAGGCAAGATTTCTCTAAAGAGGTAACGTGAGCTGACACCTAAATAATGAACTCAGCCCTGGAGTAAAGACTGTTCTGGCTGGACACACTCTAACAAAGCTGAAAGGCAAGCCTCAAAGTAATGAAACTGATCCACAAGCAAAACAACTGCTTATCAGGACAAAGTTCAACATTCTTTAACTGAATACAACAAAATCCAGCAACCACATGTAAAATTTGCAAGTTTGTCATTCAATCAAAAGTTAATGAACAAGAGTTCTAGTCCTGCTGTGGCAACATAAGTCTTTATACAGGCCTTCTCTCTCACTAATTACAACTAAATTTTAGATAAAATACAAAAACATAACTATCAGAAGAATTTGAAAAGTAAACAAGAGCAGACTGTAGAGTTAAAACTTAGAGAAGCACTCCCACAGGAAGGCGAATCCAGACCCTTGTTTGCTCTAGTGTGCTGAATGAATGTTTGCTCTAGCGTGCTGAACAGAGCAGTGCGGTGCAGTGGTGCAAATGGCTAAATCTCAAATAGAAACTCAGTCCTTTTTTTTCCATTTACTAAAGTTTGGGGTTATTTTTATTATAAATGTTTGATTCCAAAATGCTTGAGAGTAGTCTTTTCTTTTTCTCTTGAGCCGAATAATTTAGTCACACCACCCTAACAATGATAATATCCTATTTAGTGATTACCTACTATGTGCCAGAACCAGTGCTGGGAAGAGATACAAACATTGATAAGACAGTCTCTGAGATCAAGGCGTTCTCAGTACAGAGAGAGGGAAGGAAGGGTTAGGTGATGTGATATGGCAAGGGCAATCACGCAGGCATATACAGGATGTCATGGGAGAATGTGGTGGGGTTGTCAGTAGTGTAGAGGTTGAGAAATTCTGAATGACTAAGAAATGACATATGTACACACACAATAAAATAAAAAAAAATTCGTTCTCCAAATCAGAAAACCAGTCTTAATCTTAACAGAAGAACCAGGAAAAGGGGTCCTTACAGTGTGGAAGGAACCTGAAGGGAAGAAAGGAACCAGAGAAAGGTATCTCCTAATCCTGTGTATGAGCCCACAGAATTGGGCTAATCCCTGAGCTATGAAAGCAGACACACTCTCAGAGACTATGAAAACTTAACTGAAACTTTAACCACCCTCCCAACCCACACACAAATGTCTCAGCTCAACCCCTGAATTACACATGTGCAAGACAGTCCCAAACCAATACAAGGAAAACTTAAGAGAACTAAACAGGGCTTTGAACCATCTATAAAAGTCTCAAAACTCCTGAACTACACTGGCATGAGAAAAAATCAGCATAGCAAAGGCTGAGAGATGAGAAATCAGATCTGAATTATTATCCACAGAAGGGGTGCCAGAACTTACTGTTTAAACCTAACTGGATTGATTGCCTGCTAGAAGAAATACATTGACCCAGAATCTACACAACATAGCATGAACAACGGAAAACCAGGAACAGGACCAGTTCTCAGGGCAAAAGGCAATCAACAAATGTTAACAACAAGATAACCCAGATGTTAAAACAATCAGACAAGAAGTTTAAAGGAGTCATTACAATTTTGCTCCACGAGGTAAGGGAAACACACACTTGTACTGAATTAAAACATAAGAATTCTTGGTGAAGAAATAACACATTGCTGGGAATGCAAAGGGATATAGCCACTTTTGAAAACAGATTCACAGTTTCTCATATAGTATATATTTAGCATATAACCCAGCAATACTATTCCTAGAGATTTACCCATGAGAAATAAAAACATGTTCACACAAGGACTTGTACAAAAATATTCACAGGAGCTTTATTCATTACAGCCCCAAACTGGAAACAATTTGTGCATGAATGGATGGCTAAATGGAGAAATTGTGGTCTATTCACATAATGGAATACCTCTCAACAATAAAAAGGAACTACTGATATATGCAACAACATGGATAAATCTCAAGAGTATTATGCTAAATGAAAGAAGACAGAAAACACAAAATGTATGATTCTGTTTTGTGAAATTCTAGAAAAGTCAAATATGGGCGGGGGGGTGGAGGGAATGCAAATCACTGGTTGTCTGGAGCCAGGAGTGAAGCCTGGAAGGAGAGGATCTACTGCAGAGACACAGGAACACTTAGGGGTGATTAAATGTTTTACATCTTGCTTTTGGTAATGTTCTAAACAAAGAAAGCAACATAAAAAGGGATTACTATAAATGGGCAATTCATATCAACTAAGAATCTGAGTAAATAAGCCTGTAGAAGTAATTCTCTATTTCTCTAGCAATCCCAGAAATGCTAGTTAAAGGAGTGAGTTATCCCCTGTCTCCTAATAGGTTGGCAAAATTTAAAAAACAGAAAAGGGTAGCAGGGAAAAGTCTACAAAACAATACTATAAAATTTCTATGCCTATGGGTATAGATATGTGTAATGCAAAGAAGAAGTTCTAGAATGATACACACCAAACTGAGAATGGTGGTTATTTCAAACAGGAAGATTTATTTTAGGATGGTGGTAAAAGACAAAAGAAAAAAAAGATAAAGGCCTTAACTTCAATTTCAGAGTACTTGTGATACATATGTAAATACTGAGTAGAGATATTTTAGCATTTGAAAGTACAACTCTAAGTATAAATCTTTAAAAATTAAGTATACATCAAGATGCCCACACACATGTTCAGTTGCAAATGAATGACTTTATTAAGGAGACTCTTTAGGCAATCTACTTCGTTTAAATGAAGATGTACTTCTAACATAATCTGTCCTTTATAACTGGAGTCATATACTCAATACAATTAAAGAAATGACAAGGTAAATCCTTATGTTAAATATAAGATAATCACCACTTTCATTTATTATTTTCTAATATAAAATAGGTTTACGTAAAACAAACCTGAAAAGTTTGAATTCTGCAAGTGGATACATTTCTCTTTCACAATCTACTAGAATAATCATTCCCTATATTATTCAATCTGATTTTTAGTTTCCTCATCTTCTTTTTTATCCACTCAAGGTTTTATACTAAACAAAAACTATATGAATAGGTTCAAACCTGTTAAAAGTGCACACCGATGAAAATCTTCACTTACAAATTTCATGAACATATCCTCATCCTAAAATAAGAATTTAAAAATATTTCTCTTTAAAAAACCAACAGTTTTCAAATCCAGATTTTTTTACATCTATTTTAGTACTTGGGATTGAGTATATGTCTTTAACCTTTAATAAACGAGAAAATTAAAGGATTATTATCGGCTACTGGTCTCAATGCACCCAACACTTCAAATATTCTGAAACCTTAAAGTTTGCATCCTTCATTCCTCCTCTTCCACTGGGGTGAGGTCATAATAATGACTTTATGGAAGGAATGAAGTTTAAAGATTCTTGGTAAACCTGGGAAAACAATTTAAATTAAAAATAAAATTGGCTGGGCGTGGCGGCTCATGCCTGTAATCCCAGCACTTTGGGAGGCCAAGGCAGATGGATCACCCGTGGTCAGAAGTTTGAGACCAGCCTGGCTAACATGGTGAAACCCTGTTTCTACTAAAAACACAAAAAATTAGCCGGGCGTGGTGGCGCATGCCTGTAATCCCAGCTACTCGGGAGGCTGAGGCAGGAGAATCCCTTGAACCCAGGAGGCAGAGGTTGCAGTGAGCCGAGATCGCACCATTGCACTCTGGCTTGAGCAACAAGATCGAAACTCTGGCTCACGAAAAAAAAAAAAAAAAAAAAAGAAAAACACAGAAAGCCGTAATTCCTTTAAGTAGTTAAAGTAAGCTTTAAGAGCTTATTTCGGGACATTAGTTTACATACATAATTTACACTTCAATAAAATTTGAAGGAAATATCTCAGAATATGTAGTAGAAACAGACTAAAGAATTTTAAATACTACATTTTCCCCCCTTTTTCTTCTTCCATGTCCCTTCCTCTATGACATCAGAGCCACAATAAACTGTTAACGGTGATACACAACAAGGTTAGAACACGGTGGTTCTACTATGATTCATACTACGATGTAACACAATCCAATCAGCACATATAAGAAAATAAGTGGACACTAATCCTAAAAACCCTACTAAAAATTTCATACACAAATTTTTAAAAAACCTAGAAGAATCTTAGCTAAAATATTTTCTCAAAAAAATACAAACACAGTTTCTCTTTCTAGACAGGGCATAGTGTTCCCAGTGATAACTCAGCTTTTTCAGCCAAATTATTTCCCAACTTCAATGACAATAATTTAAACATCCAATTGATTTTTATATCCAATTGACTTTATAATACTTTAATTAGGGATTTATATAATACAAATTTTATCTCCAAGTAAAATAAAGTTGAGAAAAACATACCGATTCATCTTCATCACTGATTGTTCTGTCTGAATAGTCTTCCTTTTCTGAATCTTCTGACATCTCTTCCAGTGTTTGACTTGAGATTTCTTGTAATATACGGGTAGGCTGTAAAACAATTTCTAAGGAAATTATTTGACAGCTTTTCTTTTCAAGCTGTGTTTACTACATTAAATGAGTACTCAAAAATATATTCAATTGTATTTAACAGTCACAACAGTCTTCTCTAAAAACTACAGTACAACTAATAACACTTTCAATTTCAGAGATTTAAAGGAATTTTCCACGACTATAAGAGACAACCACCACAATAAAAGACAAATCAAGTAAATCATTTAATTAAAAGGAATTTCCAGAGTATACAGCCAAATCATTCACATTTTATTATATTTACAACTGAATACTACACAGCAAGTTCAGAATGATCCTGAGGCATTAAAAGATAATGAATTTTAAAAATTAGTCACTTTGTGAAATGTAGCAATATAATTTTAAGTTTTCTCCTTGATTTTCACTTGACCAAAAGTTCAAGTGACAAGACTTTACATTTTGATTATCATTCTGTAGATTCTGTTCTAATATTCATTTATATTATTCTTATTCTTAGAAATCTAAATAGCTACTAGAAGGTTGTATTGGTAATGACCACTACCATTCTATGTATCTTCCCATGTGGTTAATATTAAGACCAGGGAATAATCGAAATTTCTTGTCAAGTTCCCATCGTTCTTGAGAGACCAAAGGACTCGACAACTGCAAATCTATTGGTTTACGCCCCTCTCTACAGAAAGCGTGTTTTGCAGCGTGGACTACATATAAGTTAAGTTCAATCTCTATGGCAAATCACTGCCAATGCCACGGAGCCGACTGTCTCATAGATGACACCTTCAGTCCTAAGAAACTGAAGTTTTTGCCTGGGCATCACAACTCCACATTTGGAAAACCCAACTGGCGTAAATTCCACTCCTTACAGGTACACACGGGGCACACGAAGTGCTGACCTGCTGCGGATACCGCTCCGGCCTCAGGGGAAGTCCCTTATTCACCGGCGCTCCGCGGGTGTCTTCCACCACTGCGGAGGAGGGGCAGGTGCAGGCGCGTCCACGCTCAGCCGCGTCCCAACAGTACCAAGGCGTTTTTGGCGGGAGCCAGGATGAGGCCACAATTCTACGCGGCCGAGTTCCTTCCCTCACTCACTCCTGGCCACCAGGGTGTGGTGAGGCGCTCATTTTCCGGGGCGCGCTCGCTTCCCGCAGGGGGCGCCCCGCCTTCCTTCTGCCTACCTCACCGTCCCGTTGGCACCGGCACCTAGATCCTGGCCAAGTCCTCTGGTCAGGCCAGTCGTCGTCGCTTCCGTGCGGGGACAATATCTTGGGATCTAGCGGAGAACCCAGGGTCCAGCCGCTAGAAGGAATGCCACTACTGGAGATCCGCAGCCCCAGCCACGCCCCCAACTCTCGTCACCAGGCAACGGGTCCGCCCTCGCGAGACTTTGAGCAGCCCTCGGCGATCACCTACAACCAGTGCGGAGGAAAGGAGCCTGCGCAGGTTTTGGCCCCAGGAAGTCGGAGCCCAGAGCATGCTGGGAACTTGGAGTGGGCAGCAGGGCGGTCGGAGAGGGTGTCTGGGAGGCTTTGGGGTCTGTTGGAAGAATTTAGGAGCGTGGAAGGCCAGACAGCTAATAATTCCTAGTCAAAGTCTGCACTTCGACTATTGCCTTAGAGGAGGCATGCTGGTTAGGACTGCGCTTTGGAGCCCACCTGACTTTTAACAGTGTGACAATGGACAAATTACCTGAACTTCTTGGGTACAGTACTTGAAACTACTTCTTGGAGATGTTAGAATATTAAAAAGTACGTTCGTCTTGATTTTTATACAGGCTGAGTTCCGTTCTACACAGTTGTGTGATTAATTCTCTTTATTCAATTCGGAAAATGAGGCTTTTCTCCTTAAATACTAAATGGAGAGTCATAGATGAACTAGGGTGAATTCTCAAAAATTATCAGCTCAGAGATTCTTTATAGCAATCGTCAGCTAGCATGTTTAACACTGTTTTCCTGATCACTGCAAATCACTATATGTAGTCTCATTTAATTAACAGACGTTATTCATGAACATCCCATATTGATTTTTTCCCTCATTTTTAGCTCTGCTGGGTAATGTAATCTATTTGGAACAGTTTTCCAAGTACAGCTGAAAAAAAGTCTAGATTTTGGTGATATAAGAATGTAAATAAACACTTTTCACAAAGCATTATATGCCATGAGATTCGTGATAATGTAGAAATGGAGATAATGAATGGCAACAAATTTGAAAGTAGAATAAAGGGCAAAGCACTATGGCTTAAGCATGGAAATGGGTTAATATAATTTCTTTGTATTTTGTAAGTTTCTGAAAATAGGTGTTTTGAGGTCAGCAGTTTAAAAGTCTGAACCTTCCAGATTAGACCTTGGACAGAGAATATTAATAGAGTATATCTTAGATCAACCTCTTGAAAAGTCGCTCTTATAGTTGAACCTTGTTTTAACCATACATAAGTCACTAAAAGTGACATGCACAGAGAAATCTTTATATATGCAATCTGTTTTTCTGTTGGGTTTTAGTCATGGCTGTAAGCCATAGGATGTCAGCTGCACAAGGTAAAACTGAGAAGTGATCTAACCAGGTTATACAAGAAATTAATGGCAGAGCTGAGAGACTTAAGTTTCATGATTTTTAGTCCAAATAGTTATATTATCACATATCAAGTAATCCATGGGAAGAAAAATGGTCTTAGTGCATAATTTTAAAACTGTAGGGTTTTTTTGTTTTGTTTTGTTTTGTTTTTTTGTTTTTTTTTTTTTTGAGACAGAATCTCACTTTTTCTGTTGCCCAGGCTGGAGTGCTGTGGTGCGATCTCAGCTCATTGCAACCTCCGCCTTTGGGGTTCAGGTGATTCTCATGCCTCCCGACTAGCTGGGACTACAGGCACCACTAATTTTTGCATTTTTTAGTAGAGATGTGGTTTCACCATGTTGGCCAGGCTGGTCTCGAATTCCTGGTGTCAAGTGATGTGCCTACCTCAGCCTCCCAAAGTACTGGGATTACAGACATGAGTCACCATGCCTGGCCAAAATCTTAGGAATTTGGCAAAACTTTGAAAATGATATTCATTCATTATTTTATTAACAATTTTTTTTCTTTTTAAAGACAGCTCTGTCACCCAGGTTGGAGTGTAGTGGCACAATCATAGCTCACTGCAGGCTCAAACTACTGGTCCCAAGGGATCCTCATGCCTTGGTGTAACAAATTTACAGGATGGTTGCTGCCTACTAGGGACAGTTCACTACTGCAAGGAAAAAAACCAGACATTTATTGTGGAGGTTACATTCTGGTGGGAGTAAACAAATAAACCAATGATGATAATAAAAATGATATCACTCAGACGATAACAGCTATGAAGAGAAATCAAGTGGGGGGAAAAAAGAGAATAGGGGGTGCTGGGGGTGGGGGCCCTTGCTAGGGTTGCTCTTTTAGATGGAATGGCCAGGGAAGGCCTCTCTGGCCAGGGAGTATTTGAGCAGAGGGCTGAACCACAGGATGTCTTATGGGGAGACTCTGCCAGGCAGGGTAAGCAGCAAGTACATAGACTGAGAAGTCTGTGTTATGAACTGCAGTTGAGCCTTGAACAACTTGGGGGTTAGGGGTATCATCCTCTACATAGCTGAAAATCTGCATATAACTTTTGACTCCCCAGAAACTTAACTACTGAGAGCCTACTGTTGACTGGAACTCTTACTGATGACATAAACAGTCGATTAGCACATATTTTGTATGTTATATGTATTATGTATTGTATTCTTACAATAAAGTAAGATGAAATGTTATTAAGAAAGTTATAAGGAAGAGAGTATATTTCCTATTCATTAAATGTAAGTCATCATAATGGTCTTCATCCTTGTCTTCACATTGAGTAGGCTGAGGAAGAGGAAGAGGAGGGGTTATTAACATTTTTTTTCTTTTTAAAGACAGCTCTGTCACCCAGGTTAGAGTGTAATGGAGTTGCTGTCTCAAGGGTGGCAGAGGTAGAAGAAAATCCCTGTATACTTGGACTCACATAGTTTAAACTCATGTTTTTCAGGGATCAGCTGTATACTAGGCAGTACTATTTAGCTGAAGCTTAGCTGGAATCCGTATCATTTTAAGGTAAGAGACTTCACAGGGATTTTTTACTTGCCCAAGTAAAATTGAAATGGTTTGCTTAAGCATCCACTGTTCTTTTTTTTTTTTTTTTTTAACTCTTCCTTTTTAACTTACTCTCCTATTCAAGACAGTAATATGTACTGGAAATGAAATCATTTGTCTTTAAGTTCATGTGGAAGTAAGGCCTAGAATAAACTTCTACCAAGGACTTTGTCTGAATTTTTGTTCCCCTTCCTTGTGATCTCACCAAAGAAGGTTACTGGACATGCTCCTTCTATTGCCAGCTTCTGCCTTTTGGGAAGGCAGCTTTACCCTTGTGGCAACTTTTTCTGCTCTTTTTTTTTTTTTTTGAGTTTGATCTAAGACTACAGTCTAAAAGGCAGTATAATAAAAAATAGAGTAAGAAAAGAGGAAAAGACAACCAAAACTCTTTAAGTGCCAACTGTGCCAAAAAGCACAATTACTTGTGTGGGAATCGGGAAGAAAGTTCGTTTTAGCAGGATGGCCAAAGGTAAGTTGTGTTAGGAGTATAATTTTGTGTAACTATATCATTTGGATCAGAATCAAAATAGAGTCATGAAAGAAAACTGACAAACAGAGCTGGAGAAGGCCATGAAAGAAGAGTCTTCACATTTGTGTGCTTGATAATGAAAAAGACTCCGTAACAACCACAACCTTACACGAGGGCCATCACAACCTTACAGAAAAGATACTTCTACAAGGACAGCTGCTCAGCAACTGCCTGGCTAACCTCAGACTGGCATCACTCTTGTTATTGATCTTTGTGGCTAAGGATAATCATTTTAAAAGCCAGTATGTAATCTTCCTCTTATTTTCTTTTAAAAATCTTTATCTTCCTTTACCTCCCTGACTATACACATAGTTTACTATGACATGCATATTCCGATTTGCAATGTTCCATTCCCAAATAAACGTCTTTTAGAGAGCCTGTCTCTGTTATTTAGGTTGACAATTGAGAGAGGCTTAAATGAATATATGAAGTGACTACGGCAATCAGTTACTTATGACATCATAGAACTCAGTAGTCTATGATCTTAGAGGTCTTGTAATTCGACTGAGGAAGCCATAGGAGGGCCTGGGAAGCCTGGGATAGTCTAGTAATTATCTTGGCCTTCTTCATACTATCTGGGTCTAGGATGACCTAGTACAGGGCCAAACCTCTTAAACTGTTTCCAAGCTCAGATCTTGAGACCTGTCTCAGCCAGTCAACTAACCAACACTCAGCTCAAGCGTCATTCACTTGATGGTGTCTTTTCTAGTTACTTTGTCATCAGCAGAATTAATTGTCTGTATTTGGGGGCTATGGTGAAGCTATCATTGCCCTTAGTATTTGGAAATGAGTTAGTAAGAATGCCCCCTGCCTGCTCAACCGATAATAGATAGGATAAATCATCTCAAAAGAGAACGAATAGTTTCCCAGACTCTGCATGAAATCTCATGACAAAAAACATGAAATTGTCTTTTCCTCCTGCCAAAATCTGCCCTAACTGTGCAATGGTGAAATTCCCTTTCCAGCTCAGGGCATGTTGGCTAGAGTTGGTAACTTTTCAGTTACTAAAACAGTATCATTTTGATATTTGAGATTTGCTTCTGGTATTTGGCATTCGATTTGGCATTAAGAAGTTCATTTTTTAAAATTATACTTTAAGTTTTAGGGTACATGTGCACAACGTGCAGGTTTGTTACACATGTATACATGTGCCATGTTGGTGTGCTGCACCCATTAACTCATCATTTACAATAGGTATTTTTCTTAATGCCATCCCTCCCCTCTCCCACCACCTCCCGATAGGCCCCAGTGTTTGATGTTCCTCCCCCAGTGTCCAAGTGTTCTCATTTTTCAGTTCCCACCTATGAGTGAGAACATGCAGTGTTTGGTTTTCTGTCCTTGCAATAGTTTGCTCAGAATGATGGTTTCCAGCTTCATCCATGTCCCTACAAAGGACATGAACTCATTCTTTTTTATGGCTGCATAGTATTCCATGGTGTACATGTGCCACATTTTCTTAATCCAGTCTATCATTGATGGACATTTGGGTTGATTCCAAGTCTTTGCTATTGTGAATATTGCTGCAATAAACATACGTGTGCATGTGTTTTTATAGTAGCATGATTTATAACCCTTGGGTATATACCCAGTAAGAGGACGGCTGGGTCAAATGGTATTTCTCGTTCTAGATCCTTGAGGAATTGCCACACTTTCTTCCACAATGGTTGAACTAGTTTACAGTCCCACCAACAGTGTAAAAGTGTTCCTATTTCTCCACATCCTCTCCAACACCTGTTGTT